GATGGCATTGCAGGGAAAACATGCAGCCAAGCCAAGCTGTGTAAGGCTTCCTCCCACACCTAACTTCCAACTTTTGCTGAATTGGGGGGAAATCATTAAAGGGACACTTGCTTTTTGTTTGGGTTTGGGTTTTGTTGGTTTTTGGGTTTTTTTTCCATAAAATGAAACAGAAGGTGAAAGCAGTAGGTAAATGACTGATTAATTAACACTTTATGCAATTTTAATTTTATAGAAATTTGGTAGATTTTGATTGGTCCTAGCTCTGGTGAAATGGCTGTTACCCTCCATGACTTACTTGATTCAGGCCTTTGTCCTTTGTTTAAGTGCCTTTTTTTTAATTTTATTTCCCTACCCTCTTTAAACTGTTCTCAGAGATCCTGAAGTGCTGGAAGGCATTTTGGAGGAAAATCTTAAGCTTGCCAAGATGGCTTTATGCTGTTATACTATTTTTTTTTCCCCTTTTGTAAAGAAAAAAAAGTGTATAATGTGTGTAACTTAGCTGCTGTACCATGGCATTGGTTCTGTGTGCTTGTGCGTGCTTTCTCTCACACTCACACACGTTTGCGCACACACATATACAGCAATATTCCTGAGAAACCTGTTCATCATCCTACGTTCTGCTGGCTCTGTTAAACACTTAAAGGTGAACGCTTGTGCAAAGATGGCAGTACAATAAAAGAGTGTGTGTGTGAGTGTGTGTGAATGTGCATGAGAGAAAGGAAGTGGCTCATGGGAATGAAACTTCTTGCATTTTTCTCTGAAGGTTTTAAATTTGAATCTTCATTAGGTCATGAGTAAAACATTACGGGCCCTGTCTGGCAACCTTATTAAATACTGGACTATTTCACACCATTACTGAGTCTGAGGCAAAGACATGTGGCTTATAACGCCAATGAGGTATGGGGGAAAGATGGTTAAAATAGCAGCTTGCAACAAATTGAGATGAATTGCAGTGAATCTTGTGTGTGGCTAGTCACATCTGCTTGACACCAGTTATTGCAAGGATTCTCACATTTACGGTAATTGTCACTTCCTACTGTGCATCATATGTAAGAAGGGATTTGGCAAAACCTGCAAGAGAACAGCTGCTAATTGAAGTTAAACCTGGCTACGCTTCACATGCTGCCTAAGTCATTCTCCATGAAGTACATTTCTAATTGTTCTTTTTCTCAATTTATTGAGATTTCATTAATGGGTTGTTTTCTTAATATAATGAACAGTAAGTTCATGTGGTGTTAGCTGCAAGTGAACCCTCATAATAGTGTTTGTGCTTGTTTCCTTGTTCTCTGACAAAATTAGCAATCTGCAATAGATCATCTAGTGATTTTAACAACTCTGTGCTGAGGATCTGTCTAACTTATGATTATTATAAACATGCATACCTGAAATTAGCAATTCACTTGTTGACCAAGTGCTGAACTTAAGGTAACATACATACACATCACTAGACTGTGCTAGTTTTGTGATATGCTTCCCATGGGGAAGATCTAATTTTGAGTTGCAATATGAAAATGAAGTGTTTACTTTCCAGAATGGAAGTGGAATGAAGAGTCCTTCATAGGTGGAGAACCCATCAAGAGAGCAGAAAATAAGATATCAAATACAACATGCTCCTGTTGCGGAGAGTAGCCAAACTGCTATTTCAGTTCTTGGCTTGTCTTCACATGTTTGAGTAAACCTGTTGGTGTAAACTAGGCCATAGGTGTATTTCTTCTACCACTCTAATGGTGCCAGTCAAAGATGGCTATTGCTGGTAGCTCAGCAAGTTGGACTGGTAGTGAGGGTGCTTCTTAAACTGCCTTGGGTGCATCAGTAGAGTTTGCCACATCCACCTGTGGCAGTAAGCTGAGCTAATCTGGCCCTTCTGTTGCTGTTTAATTCATTTTTGGGCACATGTGCTCTTTATCCTAGGCTGATCTGAGATGGGGAATCTACAGCTGGTGATGATAGTTGACTGTTGCAGCCCTTATTTAACAAATGCAGCTGTTGTGAAAATCTGTCTGTCTACTGCTCAAGAAATCACTGCCAAAATAAGCAGCCAGAAGTATGCTTAGTGGGCCACTGGAAAGATAACCATTGTGTAGGGGAATGGTTTGTTTGTGGAAACTTCTGTTGTGGCTTCATCATCCCTTTTCTATGACCTGGTGATCCCTTGCTGCTGTAATAGCCTTTTGGGGCCATAGAAAGCCCTGCTGCTGCTATGAGTTATGCTGAGAGATCAGCATGGCCTGGAACTGGCCCAAAACTGGGGAAGTATAAAGACTCCCTACAGCTGTTTTTGCACACTCCTCATAAATAAAACTGTGCTAATCTTGTCAGTAGTCAAGGATATAGGTCTGTATTTTGTAGACATTTTCAACAGCTATAATTCTAACACCAATACCCACACTGTTAATGTTTGTGCAGTGTTAATAACATACCCTTGCTTTGACTCCTTTTACAGGCCTTCAGAAGGGGTTTTGGGTTGGTGATTATTTTTTTTTTTTTCCCCCAATATTGTGTGCAGATGTGTTTTATCAACAGATAGTTGTGTTTGTTACTGTCTAGTACCAAGAGAAAAAGGGAGGGAGAGAATCAACCAAAAACAGTCAGGAGATACCACCGTCATAAAGCAAACCGATTAGCTGCTGAGGCAGCCAGAACTTCTTTGAGACTTACCATATTTCACCAGAGGAGTGGGGAGTGAGGGAAGAAAATTTGTGTTCTTAGCTTTTTCCAGATAAGGCCTTAGTTTGATTAGTAGTCACTAATATCAACTATGCAGATAAATACTTACGTGTTTCAGTGTTACATGCGTTCCTTCCCCCAGCTACCCCTCTTAACACATGTTGAAGTTTTACCCAAAGAAAATTGAATATTTTTGAATGTCTGTACTGCAGAAGTCTTTTTTGCTAACGTGAAGAAAGTTGTATTTTAAAAAAGAAACTCTTTCACTGGTGCAACACCTAGTGTCAAGTGTCATGAAGTTGCTTCCAGAGGGAAGCTGAAATCACCTCTTGTGACAGGTTTTAGTTTGAGAGTTTTTTTAGAATATTCAGCTCTCAGAATTGGTTTAAGAAGCCGCAGCAATCTTTTTCAAGTGTACAGATTGGATTTGGGGAGAAACCAATGAGACATGCCATGTTTCTTTCCCGTATCAGAAGTGAATTAAATTGGTTTCTCATTTAAATGAAGTTGCTTCTAAACAAAGGTAGTTATCAGCTACACAGTATCTGGAACTTTAAATAAAAGCTAAATTGTGATCCCCAGGTATTTCTCAATGATCTCTTAGTCTTGTTGTATGTAACTACAAATAACAATTTAGCTCAGAGGTGAGAACTGTAGTGTGTGTTTTATTGCCAGTGATTCTATCATGTAGCAATTAGTACCATGTTCTTGCATAGTTCTCAAGATCCATACTGGAAACAGATGGAGAAATTTTATTTTTGGACTACTGTTTAAAGAAAAATTACAAAATCAACTACTATTACCCCAAAAGTCTACTGAGCAGCATTATATTTTAGCAGTTGAACTAGTACCTATGTTACGTGATTTGTCTCTTGTCTTTTACTAAGGGTTAGAAGCATTTCATGAGTAATGCTTAAAATGTTGGCGTTCTCTAGCTTAATGTCAGGTGCTTATAATAAAAGGGCATCTGTGACAGTAACTTCTGATGATACAAAAGCACTATGTTCAGAATATTTCACTGGGGAAAAAAGACACGTATGGGTGCAAGTCCGTTTAGTTCTGCCTGATAAAGAGGCTCAGTCAAGACTGGAGCATCCAAATACCTGCCTGCACAGTTAATGGTAGTGGGGATCATCCCCTCAACAGACATCTGGCCTCAGTATCCTTTATTTGGTGTCACTTGTAGTATGTATGTATTTTAGCAAGTTTGGATATAGCCAGCTTAACTTGCATCCCAAGACAATGAAAAGCCAAGAAAGAGATGGACAAAGTGTTTCCCTGCCTTTCTCTAGGTAGCTCAGAACAAAGAGCTGGTCAAGTGTTTTGTTATAAACGAACATTAAACCACAGCTAGAGTTCTTTGCGTTCCTTGACTTCAGACAAAGGAACGCGCAGTTACTGTGAGATGGCAAACCTGTTTGAGTTAGTGATTCCTGTGATGCTTTACTCAGTCCTGCGTGAATGTGTACAAGGTCACCTTCTTCCTTTTAATACCTGCATATTTTGGATCATAGGGCTTAGTGATGGAGAGAGGATCCTAACAGCTGTGTGCTTACCTGATGAGCTCTCCAGAGAAACTCCCCTGTGAAATGCTCCCCCTCCTTGTGACAACAAGCCTGAACAAACAAATGCAGCTAAATTTGGGGTGGTTAGCACCACTTTCGTTTGGATTTTTAGGGAGGCGTGTTCCAATAACTTCAAGGGATACTGTGTTTTAAATGTGTGATTTCTTTCCTCTCTCCTTATAAAACTGGACCTGAACGCAAGTTTTGAGTTGTTGGGGTTTTTTTTTGTAATAATCTCAGGACCTGAAAGATTGTAGCATTTAGTGTGTCTTAAAAATGATGTACTGTACCAGCCATGGATTTTGTAAATACACCTGTCTCCCTTTTTTGTATTTTAATTTTTTAAAAGTGTGTAAGGCTCTTTGCCAGAGGAACTGGTGCCTGCTTAATTTCCATCCTGAACTGAAGCAGGAAAAGGAAGAAGCTGCTGCCACAAAAGCCTGCATCAGTTCCAGATGTGTATATTGTTCTGGTTGGTTTAATGGCTGTTAAGTCTTTTGTTAGTTGGGAAGCCGGTTTGTTCCCCTGCACATTCCCAGTTGTGGCTAGCTGAGCCCTATCAGGGAGACTAATTTTAACTCTTCTCTGTGACTACTTGATGTTTTCACTCCTTGGAGAAACTCAGGTTTGCCATCCCTGAGAAGTCTGATGTTTTCAGAGGTCAGGACTATTGGCCCTCTGTACGAATAGCTGGAGAGCATTTCTCATTTATCAGTGCTTTGGTCCAGACACAGTAATAAGGTTTGTATCCTGCAAACCTTGCGCGTAATGCCGCCTCCACCTGTTCCGAGAGGGACTCACCCTTCTATTTTCTGCAAAAGGAGTGCAAAGATTTTTTTTTTTTTTTTTTTTTTTGGCAGCAGCCTCTGCTCCGGGATCCAGCCTTTGCCAGCAGACCCCTGTTCTGCAGTAGGAGCCTTACTCCATTCGGCGTAGCTGTTCCCTGTCCCTGACCGTGACAGGCTGTTTGCATGAGTGTGTACTTTCTTTTTTTTTTTTTTTTTTTTAATGTGTCATGTGTCTGTGCTGTATTAAATAAAGAGGAATGTACATATTAACTCTGTGTCCGTGATTTCTCACAAAATTAGAAGATGTAAAGAGGCTTTGCTGGAAGGGCTGTTGCTTGGGGCTTTTTCACTGTGGCTTTGAGGGCGTGGGGGGCCGCTCCCTTTCTTCGGTCAGGGTACCCACAAAGGCAAGGAAACTACTGCGAGCAAGGCGCAGCATTTTAAAACTACCGGAGGACCAGTATGAAAGAGATCCCTTCCCTTGCGGTCCGTGTCACTCCAAGGCACGGCACGGCCCCCGGCCTTCGGTACGAGCCCAAGGACACCCGTGCCCGGCCTCCTCAGGCCAGATGCACCCCCCACACACACACCCCCCCAAGGGCGGGGCGACAGGCGACTTCCGGCAGGCGAGCAGCGCCCGGGGAGGGA